CATTGTTCTTTTTCAGGATTACTTTGGCAATTTAAAATCTCTTGATTTTATATGAATTTTAGAAATTTTTCCTGTGGAAGTTACCATTGAGATTTTGATAGAGATGGCATTGACTCTGTAGATTGTTTTGGGTGTTATAGACAGTATAACAATATTAAATTTTCCAGTCTATAAACATGGGATGTTTCACCATTGTGTTTATCTCATCTTTGATTTATTTTGGTTATCTCTTATAATTTTCATTGTACAAGTCTTTTGCCTTCTCAATTCATTCCTAAGCATTGTATTCGTTCTGAGACTTTTGTAAATGGGGTTGTTTTCTTAATTTCCTTTTCAGATTAGTCATTGTTCGTTTATGGAAATACAACTCATTTGTGTGTTGATTTGTATCTTGCAAATTTGCTAACATCATTTATTAGTTTTAGTGGGTTTTTTGTGGAATCTTTAGGATTTTCTATATATAAGATTATGTAATCTGGGAACAGATAATTTTACTTCTTTCCCATTTAAATGCCTTTTATTTATTTTTCTTGTCTAATTGCTGTGACTAGAGTTTCCAGTACTATGTTGAATAGAAATGGCAAGAATAGGCATCCTTTCCTTGTTCCCATTCTTAGAAGAGAAACTTTCCGTTTTTCGCGATTGAGTGTGATTTTAACTGTGGACTTTTCATATGTGACTTTTATTATGTGTAGGTACTTTCCTTCCATTCCTCGTTTGTTGAGTGTTTTTATCATGAAAAAGTGTTGAATTTTGTCAAATGGTTTTGTGCATCAATTGAGATGATCATGTGTTTTCACTTCTTCATTATGTTAATGTGATATATTATATTAATTGTTTTTCACATTCCCTTCCTTGCATTCCCGGTATAAATCCAAACTGTTCATAGTATACAATCTTTTTAATATGCTTTTGAATTTGGTTTGCTACATTTTGTTGAGAAGATTTGCATCAGTATGCATTAGGAATATTGGTCTGTAGTTTTCTTGTTGTGATAATGGATTTACGTTTAAACACTATTAGTGAGTAGCTCCTGAGAAATGCCCTACATTGCAAACATCTAAACTGGCTTAAGGGCGCTATAAAAGTTGTTCTATGTATAATGTCATGTTAAAAACATTTGGTGAAATTTACTAAAGAGAATTCAGAATTAAATAGAAATAGAAATATCTTAACACCTCCTTTTGTATTAAGGATGTTTAACTCCTTGCTGCCAAAGGAATGTCTTGTAGGATGTGGAGAGGAAATTCTTATACATACATTCTTATAGAATGTAGAAGAAAAAAATGTCTTCCTCTGTGCTTGATCTGATTTCTAACATTCTGAGTTTTCATGGTTGATTTGTTGGTTGGTTGGTTGAAAAAGGTATGTGTGTATGTCAAAGAAAATTTTGAAGATTTCAACACAATTATCTCAAATCATATAATTTAAACTAAAATGGGGGTATTAGCTGTAATAATGTTCAAACTATAGCCCCATAAAGGCTATTTCTCAATACTAATAGACTGATTTGGAAGTCTCTCACACAACTTTAATACATATTTTACTTCTTGATACATTTCCTTACATTCATTTGAAACATAAAAATTAGTTGAGGCCGGGTGCAGTGTCTCACACCTGTAATCCTAAGCACTTTGGGAGTCCGAAGTGGGCGGATCACGATGTGAGGAGATCAAGACCATCCCGGCTAATGCAGTGAAACCTTGTCCCTACTAAAAATACAATTAGTCAAGCGTGGTGGCAGGTGCCTGTAGTTCCAGCTACGCAGAAGGCTGAGGTAGGATAATTGCTTAAACCCGGGAGGCAGAGGTTGCAGTGAGCTGAGATCGCGCCACTGCACTCCAGCCTGGGTGACAGAGCAAGACTTTGTCTCAAAGATAAATAAATAAACAAATAAAAATTAGTTGAAATTCTATCTCAGTTATGAAAGGTAGCTTTATTCTTTTGGTTTTCTATTTTGAGTTATGATTGAGAAATAACCTGTGGCAGAAGTTTTCTTAGCAATTTATTGTGGCCATTGCACCTGTTTCAAGATTCCTCTAAACAGAAACAAAAGTGAAATAAATTTGTGGAGTTAATAATAAAAATGTTATTCTCTGCGGTATTTTTTTTTTTTTTTAAGACGGAGTCTTACTCGACATGTCGCCCAGGCTGGAGTGCAGTGGCGCCATCTTGGCTCATTGGAACCTGCGCTTCCCGGGTTCAAGCGATTCTCCTGCCTCAGGCCCCTGAGTAGCTGGGAATACAGGCGTGTATCACCACGCCTGGCTAATTTTTGTATTTTTAGTAGAGACACGGTTTCACCATGTTGGTCAAGCTGGTCTCGAACCCCCGAGCTCGTGATCTGCGCCCCTTCAGCCTCCCAAAGTGCTGGGATTACAGGCGTGATCCACCGCGCCCAGTCCATATTTTTTCATTTCATAGAATTTCCGGATAAAAGTCAGAGTCAAACTAGTTTTATAATACTGAAAAGTTTTGCAAATACAGGCATGTCACTTAATGATGGGGATATGTTCTGAGAAATGTGTCATTAGGTGATTCCATCATTGTGCAAATGTCATAGAGTATACTTACATACACCTAGGTGGTATGTAGCCTATATGATATACCCTATTGCTCCTAGGCTGCAAACCTGTATAGCATGTTACTATCCTGAAGGCAATAGGCAATTGTAACACAATGGCAAGTATTTGTGTATTGAAACATAAAGGTATAATAAAAATACGGTACTATGAATACAATTTTATGGGACTACCATTGTATATGCGGTCCATCATTAGCCAGACTTTCCTTATGGTGGCACAAGACTACATAGTAAAGGGTGAAGTAACCAGACTTGGAGATGGGGAGGAGGGAGAAGAATGCCAAATGTATGTTTCCTCCCACCAAGACTAGAAGGCATCTAGTATCAGGCAACACACTTATTTCCTACTCCTACACAATCATTTCCTACTCCTGTCTCATACTTGCCAGAATCTGGATTTTTTTTTCTTTATTGTCAGACCAGTAATGCAGTTTTCATATTTTGTATAACAAAAAAGTTGTAGGACTTTTTCTTCTTATTATGAAAATATGACTCATTAAATACATAACTTTTAGTACTGGCTATTTGTATTCTTATACTCTTAGTCACAAAGATTACTATGTTTTACAAAGTCAAAAGGTTGTTAATAGCAGCTAGCATGAATTCAGAGCTTGCTATGTATTGAGCACTGGATTTAAACACATATGCTCGATTTTATTAGATCCTTATAGTAGGAAGGTAAAGAATACACTAGTCACTGAAGTTCCTTCAGTGCTCAAGACTCAAGTGCACTATAGCAAGACAAACACCAGGAAAACATGTAACTCTGCTTTGAATACTTTAGCAAGTGAATGGCCCAGTTTGGGAAAGCAAGACAAACACTGGATCCATAATGGCTTTTTACAGCTGATAGGAATGCAGAAAAAATAGAGCCATTAACTACTAATATTATCTTTGCAAGCAGGTGAGCAGTACATATCTGACTTCAGAAGATTTTATTGAAATCAATAGATGATGGTTAATAAAAACAAATATTCTCAGCTTTCCTTCTTTCACTTGTCCTCTGACAACCACTATTTAGCTAAAACTAAATGGATTAGAGATATAAGATGATGAATAACAACTATTATTAACTTTTGTGAGCATATAATGTGAGTCAGCTACTACACTAAGAACTTTACATAGATTCCCTTAATTTTCTCAATAATCCTATGAGAATTGTACTTGTATGAGCAACCCCATTTTATAACTGAAGATACTTGAGGCTTCAAGAGGTTATGTAAACATGTTTGTGGTCAACAGTTATTAAGCGGTGAGTGACATTCTCATGAGATTAATGAAATCATCTGTGTGAGATACAAATACATCTATTGTGTATGTTTGTGTTTTTAAATGGAGACCAGTGGTATGACAGAATGAAGTCCTTTTATTATTCAGTCAAGATCTGATGTGGCTATTCGAATATAGGAAAAACTGATGTTTTCCTTTTTTAGTTACATTAAATTAACTTTAAAAATAATAACTTTATCAAGATATGATTCACATAATGTAATTTGCTCATTAAAATGTTTGAGTCAAGAGTTTTTAGAAGATTCACAGAATTGTGCAACCATCGCCACAATCTTTAGAATATTTTCGTCATCTCAAAAAATACTTTGTAGCCTTTAGCACCCCTCCCACTGTGCCCCCCCATACCCCTGGCCATAGGCAACTACTAAATTACTTTCTGTCTCTGCAGGTTGTCCTATTCTGGATACTTTGTATATGTGGAATCATACAATATGTGATCTTTTATGACTGGCATCTTTCAAGCATGTTTTTGATGTTTTCATCCATGTTGTAGAATATTAAATTAACTTTTTGCATAAGAATAATTGAGCTAGAAAAGCATTGGCTGAATATGTCTACAGAATGTACCATTTAGAAAAGAAACAATTCCTGGAGACAAATGAGGTATTAACTAAAATGTAAAGAACTAAAAATTAGCTTTGAGTCTTTAATAAGCTACCATTCATGTTTTGCTTTTACTAGGAATGAACTTTTAATGTTTTGGAGCTATAAATGTAGTTTCTAAAGACATCTTTGTTTTTAAAGAAATGACATCTGCAGGCTTTTTCTTAGTGTTTCTAATAAGTGTGTATGAGTGTGTGCACTTGTATGTGTGTGTGTGCGCATGTTTAGTGACTTTACATGTGTATACATACAACTGTACACAGTCATATATGACTCTGGTGGTACATGGAGTCTAAATTTAATTGTAAAATTGAAGGAGTTCTAAAATTAGTTTTAGTATAGTAAGTGGGATATAGTAAGAATGTCCTACAATTTAAAAGCCTATTTGGTTATCCTGAATGGATTTTGAATGTATTCAATACTAGATTTGTGAGTGACTGTGCCTTTTTAGTAAACAAAAGAAAGGCTGTAATGTAGAAAGTATATGGAATAAGCATAACATCTGTCCTAATCTAATTTTCAGGCACATCTCCAGACTTCAATTTGGCTGAAGTAACTCATGCCACAGACCTGTGCACATGCCTGGAATTGAGAGACACAGTTTAAAAGACTTCAGTTTGCTTTCTGCCTTTTGAAAACTCCTGAAAACCATCCTTTTGGACTCTGGAATTCTACACAGCTCAACCAAGACTTTGCTTGAATGTTTACATTTTCTGCTCGCTCTCCTACATATCACAATATCGTGTTCACGTTTTGTTAAAACTTAAGGGTGTCAGGAGTTGAGCTTGCTCAGCAAGCCAGCATGGCTAGAATGAGCTTTGTTGTAGCAGCTTGCCAATTGGTGCTGGGCCTACTAATGACTTCATTAACTGAGTCTTCCATACAGAATAGTGAGTGTCCACAACTTTGCGTATGTGAAATTCGTCCCTGGTTTACCCCACAGTCAACTTACAGAGAAGCCACGACTGTTGATTGCAATGACCTCCGCTTAACGAGGATTCCCAGTAACCTCTCTAGTGACACACAAGTGCTTCTCTTACAGAGCAATAACATCGCAAAGACTGTGGATGAGCTGCAACAGCTTTTCAACTTGACTGAACTAGATTTCTCCCAAAACAACTTTACTAACATTAAGGAGGTTGGGCTGGCAAACCTAACCCAGCTCACGACACTGCATTTGGAGGAAAATCAGATTACGGAGATGACTGACTACTGTCTACAAGACCTCAGCAACCTTCAAGAACTCTACATCAACCACAACCAAATTAGCACTATTTCTGCTAATGCTTTTGCAGGCTTAAAAAATCTATTAAGGCTCCACCTGAACTCCAACAAATTGAAAGTTATTGATAGTCGCTGGTTTGATTCTACACCCAACCTGGAAATTCTCATGATTGGAGAAAACCCTGTGATTGGAATTCTGGATATGAACTTCAAACCCCTCGTAAATTTGAGAAGCTTAGTTTTGGCAGGAATGTATCTCACTGATATTCCTGGAAATGCTTTGGTGGGTCTGGATAGCCTTGAGAGCCTGTCTTTTTATGATAACAAACTGGTGAAAGTCCCTCAACTTGCCCTGCAAAAAGTTCCAAATTTGAAATTCTTAGACCTCAACAAAAACCCTATTCACAAAATCCAAGAAGGGGACTTCAAAAATATGCTTCGGTTAAAAGAACTGGGAATCAACAACATGGGAGAACTCGTTTCTGTCGACCGCTATGCCCTGGATAACTTGCCTGAACTCACAAAGCTGGAAGCCACCAATAACCCTAAACTCTCTTATATCCACCGCTTGGCTTTCCGAAGTGTCCCTGCTCTGGAAAGCTTGATGTTGAACAACAATGCCTTGAATGCCATTTACCAAAAGACAGTCGAATCCCTCCCCAATCTGCGTGAGATCAGTATCCATAGCAATCCCCTGAGGTGTGACTGTGTGATCCACTGGATTAACTCCAACAAAACCAACATCCGCTTCATGGAGCCCCTATCCATGTTCTGTGCCATGCCACCCGAATATAAAGGGCACCAGGTGAAGGAAGTTTTAATCCAGGATTCAAGTGAACAGTGCCTCCCAATGATATCTCACGACACCTTCCCAAATCGTTTAAACATGGATATCGGCATGACAGTTTTCCTAGACTGTCGAGCCATGGCTGAGCCAGAACCTGAAATTTACTGGGTCACACCCATTGGAAATAAGATAACTGTGGAAACCCTTTCAGATAAATACAAGCTAAGTAGCGAAGGCACCTTGGAAATATCTAACATACAAATTGAAGACTCAGGAAGATACACGTGTGTTGCCCAGAATGTCCAAGGGGCAGACACTCGGGTAGCAACAATTAAGGTTAATGGGACCCTTCTGGATGGTACCCAGGTGCTAAAAATATACGTCAAGCAGACAGAATCCCATTCCATCTTAGTGTCCTGGAAAGTTAATTCCAACGTCATGACGTCAAACTTAAAATGGTCGTCTGCCACCATGAAGATTGATAACCCCCACATAACATATACTGCCAGGGTCCCAGTAGATGTCCATGAATACAACCTAACACATCTGCAGCCTTCCACAGATTATGAAGTGTGTCTCACGGTGTCCAATATTCATCAGCAGACTCAAAAGTCATGCGTAAATGTCACAACCAAAAATGCCGCCTTCGCACTGGACATCTCTGATCAAGAAACCAGTACAGCGCTTGCTGCAGTAATGGGGTCTATGTTTGCCGTCATTAGCCTTGCGTCCATTGCTGTGTACTTTGCCAAAAGATTTAAGAGAAAAAACTACCACCACTCACTAAAAAAGTATATGCAAAAAACCTCTTCAATCCCACTAAATGAGCTGTACCCACCACTCATTAACCTCTGGGAAGGCGACAGTGAGAAAGACAAAGATGGTTCTGCAGACACCAAGCCAACCCAGGTTGACACATCCAGAAGCTATTACATGTGGTAACTCAGAGGATATTTTGCTTCTGGTAGTAAGGAGCACAAAGACGTTTTTGCTTTATTCTGCAAAAGTAAACCAGTTGAAGACTTTTGTATTTTTGACTTTGCTAGTTTGTGGCAGAGTGGAGAGGACGGGTGGATATTTCAAATTTTTTTAGTATAGCGTATCGCAAGGGTTTGACACGGCTGGCAGCGACTCTAGGCTTCCAGTTTGTGTTTGGTTTTTATTCTTATTATTATGATTATTATTATATTATTTTATTTTAGTTGTTGTGCTAAGCTCAGTAATGCTCTTCTAACTACAGTGCTCAATAAAATGATTAATGACAGGTGGGGGTTCCCCTGTGCTTTTACCAGTAGCATGACCCCTTCTGAAGCCATTGGTAGAAAGTACCTTGTCCTCCAAAAAGCTAACATACAGTTTTGAAGCAGCATTGAAACTTTTGTAGCAATCTGGTCTACAGACTTTTAACTCAAGAAGCTAAGGCTAGACTTGTTACCTTCGTTGAATGATGTTAGTTGACTGTACTGTAATGTTGTATCAACTGAATTGAATGTTTGCCTTTAAACAATGAATTTTCTTTTTCTTTCCTTTTTTTTGTAATAAAGAGGCTTAGAACAAGCTAACAGGCAATAGAAATATGTATATCAAATTTTTTAATGTAACAAACTACATGTTAATTGTTATCTTATTCTTTTTATCTTTAGTAGACACTTTTAAAAGACAATTTTGTTGTGTTTAACTCACCAACACGTGGTGTATAATGAAGACAGAACTATAATAAATTAGTTTTGTTCTGATTTTTTAGAACAATTGCAATAATGTATCATTTATAGTTCTTGCTAGTTGCAGTGGTAATATTTTTCACATCCATAAAAACAACCACCAAAATAAATCAACTGTAGCATGTTGCTTTTAAAAGCTAGGCCCTAAAAGGTTTTAATTCTTTTTCTAAGGGAAGAAATGTCTATTTTAATTAAGATATTTTAATGAACAGGATTTCTGTATTTTAAATAGTACTGACTAGCACATAATGGGCAGTGGGAGGATGGTTCATATGAAGAAAAAAAGGTGTATTGTTGTATCCCTTGCATAAAGGTAAATATATACACACACACACACACACACCCCACACCAATATATTCATATATGCACACATCCCAACCTGTCACACATAATTCTTGTGTATATATATGAATATATTGGATATGTCATTTCTGTAAGAGTTTTGTTAAAACCTGATTTTCTTTTGTAGTATCCACATTCTTCATCAAAGTACAAAAACATCTATGAAGTGTCCCAAAATGTATGACATGTTATTTCTTTTTAATAGTTGTCTATATGCTTAGACCCTAATTAGTCTCTCTATCTGTGTGGCGATATCTGCTGAGACAAGTAAATGATTAACAGAAAACAAAACAACTTCCATACAATTGACGTTTTTCATCCAAATATACCTAGACAGTTTTGGAGAATTGTTTCAAGATTACAAAGCAAACGTGTGTAACATTTAGAGCAGATGGAACTAGGTTTAGGTAGAAGGCCAGTTCCACAAAGGGCAGAGGGATGGGATTTAATAGGTAAAGAAGAACCCATTTGAAAATAAAGGTTGTTTCAAAAGGCAGCTGCCGCCAGGCACACACCATTCCATCAGACAGGTGCCAGACAAGCAAAAGCAAGGAAAAGTTGACAGAAAGTCCAGGTGATGTAGGCTGAGGTATTTTTCTTTGGCAATATCCTGGTTTTGTGAATCACTTAAAAAAAATCACTTTCGTCCCATTCTTAAGGGGTTTTGGCAAACAGAATTTCAGATCTTGAAACAAATGAGCTGCAACAGAAAAATAAGAAGTACCCGAGCTAAAAGCATCCCTTCCCAAAGCCTTCATTTATTGGTGAGAAAAACGTGGGCCCAGGGAGGGCTTGCAGCTTACCCAGGTCGGACTCCTGCTGGTTCAGTGCTCTGCACTCCATGGATTGTTCTAGGCCCAGCAGCCTTTTAGGTTCTTGTGCGGGGCCCCTCTTTTACAGTTCTGAATAACCTCTGGTGCGCCTGCTTCAAAAATGCAGTACATCCTCAAGTTCCCATTTACTCAGGATACAGTTTAGCACAGGGCAGATCAGATGGTATCTCTATCGTTAGTACTGCAAAGTATGTATGGCAAACACACAGAATTGGAGCTGCGTTGAATGCAAATTTGAGGTGTTTCCCTTGAGGAGTTCTTGTCTTCAAACGTCTGCAGAGAGTAGTGAACCATATTACAACTTTGCTTTCCATCCGTGAACTATGAAAAGGGGTGCCACTGATGCATTAGACCCTCAGCAGCCCGCAGTTGCAAATCTGCGAGGCTTCATTCAGCCCATAAAGCAAATACTTGAACTTAGACAGAATGAGCACTTAAATACTGGTGCAATAAATGAAGGGGAAAACCCCAGCCATTTCTCCATTATTGGGAGTTATACCTGATGTAAATGACGAGTTGATGGGTGCAGCACACCAACATGGCACAAGTATACATATGTAACAAACCTGCACGTTGTGCACATGTACCCTACAACTTAAAGTATGATAATAATAAATAAATTTAAAAAAAAAAAAAAGATATAGCAAGCACTGGGAAATCCGAGATTTTTCATCAACAATATCTTCTGCCAGCCCAGTTTAGGGGAAAAAAATCCCTTTTACATTTTTCTTCAGTAAAGTACTGGAGCTTACTTTTCCCTGTCTGTGCTAATCAGTTGATTTTCAGCTGATAGAAAACAAAATGATAGAGTACTTTTTTCCGTGGCCAAGTATTTTCTCATTTGTGTTTAATTTGATAAATTAGACAGCCAGTGAAATTAGACATCAAACTAGGTCCTGATTGATAATGAATGTTATGTCACATTTAACAGTGAAGTGGTTATTACAGGTCACTTTCTAATTTCATATTTTCCCTTTTGCTTTCTGCTGCCCTCAGGGTATATAGTGTAACTCTAACCTGATTTTTCAAGGTTATTTTTGGAGCAGTTTCTTAAAACAGGCATTCCCTAACTTGCTCATTTAATTAATGAAAAATTGAACTGATGCCATGGATATAAAAACAAATGCAATGTTTGATTGTCAGTGTTTCTGATTTGGCAAAAAGGAATCATCTCCATTTTTTTTTTTTTTTTTTTTGCAAACAATATCAAAGTGCATATTTTCTCTCATGTGGTTTCTATTTATTCAATCATTCGTTTGCTAAGGACACCATAGTCAACCCTTTACTTGGTGTTTGCTTTCTATTTCTGTATTCATTTTCCAAGGCATTTTCTTTATTACTGTTTTCACCATTGTTGGGGTAGGGGGAAACATTTTAGATCTCCAACACTTTGCTGGGAAAAACCATACTTTTTCCCTTTCTATTCACTGAAAAGGGAAGTGTAACTACTTCTGATGCATTCTAAGTACAATTGCAAATGCTTTCTTCACCTCATTTCTTTCACTCTCGCCTTGCTTGCAAATAGACTTTTTTTTTTAATCATTCAAAAGGGATTAGCTTGGAGGAAAAAAAAATGTTTCTTTAAAAATTGGTGATTCAGAATCATTATCGGGAGGTCTAGAATAATTTTGGCCTGGAATCTCTGCAGGACTTGATCTAATCTGGTGTGGACAGTCCCCCTGCCCCTACCCCCGCTTCCCCCATATGCACTGATACCAACTTCTTTAGTAAAAAGGAGATGCTGAGGGAACTAATGATTTTTACATCTGCTTGTTCAACATTGCCCAGAACAGGTAAACAGAACTCAATGGGTTTCTCATATTAAAGAATTCCTAGAAGACTTGACGGCGGGAGATGACAATGCAGGCTTTCTTTATGTCTTCAAATTTATTTATCTTTTCTTCTTTAAGAAACCTTATATGCTGGGAATCTGAAGTATATTCCAAAACTATACTTATATCAGGCTAAATTTTAATTCTAATCTTGAACTTCCCCATACTATTTTCTGTTACATACTCCTAAAATTTTGAAATGTATAGATTTTTGTGGAGAAGACACCAAACTCACTCTTTCTTTAGCACTCAACCATGGAAAGCTTTTATAAAATTAATGAAAAACTCAAGTGTTTAGCTCCAAAGCTTAAATGGGGAAATGTGAAGTTCATATAAATTGAGCAGTTTGCAAGGGTATCTGACATGCCTGAAAACACAGGGAAGAGCCAGACACAATGGCTCTTGCATAATTACCAAATTGTGGAGTCTGTGGATATGTTTATATTTAGGAAATCATCTAGGCCCCTCCCAAGTTTATATGGATGCCGTAAGACATGAAAGTGGCATTATGTAATTGCCCTCCTGACAGCCCATTACATCAGTTATATATTAAATATGAAGCAAATCCAGTATCATGTACCTCATGAAAGTAGTTCTGGTCACAAAGTAGGTCAGATCATGCCTCTCCTTTCCACCTAGGCCTCCCTGTCTCCCTCCCATAAGATTAGATTGAAAAGGTAAATTTCAGCCTGGGCCCTGACAGAATGATCATGAATTCCTAATAAGGGGGTATACTGAATTAATGAGGTAGCATTTTAATGCATCAGTCTGTATATTAGCATGCCTCATTCCTATAAACAGAAGACAGTGGTCATGAGGAGAAGGATAACAAACCATATAATTTGGGCAGACAGGACTACATTTTTACAGCTGTGACTTAAGGAAAAGTGAGGAGAAGCATTTATTGTGCATCTAGCCCTCTGCTAGGAGCTTCACATAGATTACTTTGAATCCTTTCAGTTGCCCATGTCATCCCTATGTTAAGAGAATAGTGTTTACTCAGCCTCACAGAGCCAGGCAACTTGCCTGAAATCTCACAGCTGGTAAGAAACAACTGAGACTTAACAACTGAGACTGTATGACTAAAACCAGTAGTTTTCCACCTGTATAATGGTCCACAAACTAAATCTAGGTCAGGAATAGAGAACACATAACCCCCAAATATTCAACATTTGAGTCAGGAACAATGGAGCAAAGGCAAGGTCTAATTTAAGACTCAAACCTGAGATCAATATGCAGAAACCACAAGCCAAAGAGGAAAAAGTAAAGGACAGGTCTTCCATGGCTGTGACAATAAATCCATACAATGAACTGGAAGAAACTGAAGCTGCAAAAGAAAAAAAAAAACTAGTCAAGCAATCAGTCAAAATGAAAGTGAGTGGGAGTAAAACTAGGTCCCAAATATGGCCACATTTTGAGCACTTGTTATGCTTCAGATGCCGTGGTGAGCACCTGACCTGTATTATCTTGTGGAATCCTCAATAACTTTGTAAAGTAGGTATTCATGTCCCCATTTTTCACATAGAGAAACTGAGCCTCAGTTCGTCACTTATAAGTGATGAAGCCAAGCAGCCCTGGCTGTCAGACTCCCAGGCCCAAGACTAACCATGAAACTATGTTCTAGCTGAAAAGGCACTCAGAGTACTGGACTGGCTGTCTCATTGGCCTGGCGAATTCAGTTCTTTCCTGAGAATGAGGAACAAAGAAAAGAGTAGGTGTCATAATCTTGCAAGGAACCTCCCTGCAGAAGGCTTGTTAATGTGGCATTTAATGCCATAGCCATAGATTAAAAAGAAAATGCTACCTTGCTCTTTTTATTTTTTAACCATTAAAATTAGTCTCCCATTTTAATCATATACCACATCATCCAGAGCAAAGACGTGTTCTGATGCTGTAAGTAATTGCATCTTAACTTTCCTGTAGATCATTCTGGGGGCTGGGGGTGCTAGGAGGATAAATTCCCTGGAGAACTGTTAGTAAAGAGTTTTATGCCTAATTCTGTGTCTTTGTGATCTCAGTAGCCCTTAGTTTAAAAATGTATTACTTTCAATCTTGTAAGAGGCAGACTCGTTTAAGTATCTCCTGTGCTACTGAGGAAACTATGTAAAGAAGGCAACTGTGAATATTAACCAAAATATATGCTCTTATATTATTTTCCCACTTATCAGGGCACCACACACTTATTAACAGTACTTGATTTTACCAAATTTTATTCTAACTGGCTTAGGGGTGCTCCCACCACTATAAGATGGTTCGTGTTTGCAACTCATTTAAAAATCGCATTTTTTTATTCTGATTGTAACAGTAGTATATGTTTACTATAGAGAATCTAGAGAAAAATATTTATTACAAATAGCATGTAATTCCACAATCAAAACCAGATGAGATTTTGGTACACTTCCTTCTAGTCTCTTTTTTTCTCTGTGTATATATTTATATATGTAGATATCCATATAATTATAAAAAATATATATCTTTATGAGTATAGAATTAGAATCATAGTATATATAGCTTTGTACACTTTTTTCTATTATGCAAAATGTAAGCATCTTTTTATATTATTAAACTATCTTGGAAACCATGGTATTAAAGGCTGCATAACCATCTATCATACGGATATTCAGTAATGGAATAAGTCCTTTTGGAAGCATTTTGCCTCTTCCATGTCAAGCACCAGGGACATGAAGATGAGCCCACCCTGCCCGTGCTCTCCAGGGTGTAGTCACAGAGGAAGATAGACATCCACGTAAAGGACCATCCAGTATGATGACTACACAGAGATGAAACGGCACGACAGCACAGGGAAGAAGAACCCTGGTCAGATTGGGGAGCTCAAATTTCAGATTTCACTACTTAAGCTCAGAATGAAAAGATGAGCTGAGGGCTTCACAAGCAAGCGTCCAGAGGGAGGGCATCCTAGGCAGCAAACAAGTTGCCGTGATCACAGACTTTCCAAGGATGTGGAAGAAGTCTTCCTGGAGGACTTGGCGACTCTGGAGGCCTTCTGATAAAGGGGAAGGGGCTCCTAAAAATACAGGGTAACTACATTGGAAGCTGAAGTAGGAGAGAAACTACAGCAAGGTTTTGTGCAGAGGGGAGAGGGAGAGGCTGGGTTGTATGAGGAGCCTATGGTCCCCAGATGAAGCTTTATTCCCAGTTTAATTTTTTAAGCCATTCCACATAATCACTGGTGGCGGGGAGGGGGTGCCTTCCTGGTGAGATAAGAGAAGCTCGCAAGAGCAATTTGATAAACCTTCCAAGCCCTGAGGCCTCAGTGTGGAACCTCAGCTGTGGTAATATGTAAGACACAAGCATTAAACAGATGCAAGATTGCCCTAATTGCTTAAGACTATCCCAGTCAGTGGCTTCCACTTAGTACAGGTTTTCTTTGGTGTCTGTGGTGTCAAGAAAATAGGAAGTGCATGTTTGGAAAATTGAAACTGATTTTGTGGTGTTTAAAAGCACAAATGAATCCTCTTCAGCTTGTCCTTTGCCCACTAAATACAAATATTTCCAGTTCACTTGCTTAGACAAAATTCTGATCCTTTTCTTAGTGTAACAAACAAGGCCTTATACTTGGAATAGTAATAAAGAACAATTCATACTTGGATACATGTACCTCCAAACTCCATATTGCACCCCTCCGTTTCCAAAAGTAAAACAGGTCAAAGACATTGTAGTATAACTTAATACAAAATACTTCTGAATCTAGATTCTACTCCTATGGGATTTTCCTTGGGTTTTTAATTGGATTGACTTCTGATCATAGAAATTCCTGATGGCAAGAAGAGATTGATAGAAAAGGTTATTTTCCCCAATTCTGCTCTTAACAAGTATATGGGTGGACGTTATACTTCTTGTTGTTTTGATCATTAGGAGATTTGTCCGAGGCAGATTCCATCACCACCTCCTCTGAATTATTGGTCTCTCTCTGGAGAAATACTTATCTGGCCATCTTATAAAAAGCTTAATTTCAGTTCATTTCCCCAGACTTACAAGTTATAGTTAGCTTCCCATTAACTACATAAATTGAGAGGAGCAATTTGTAAACAATGAAAAACACTGGACCATCCAAAAGCCAATAGAGGTTTGTTGAATGAATGAACTCATTCACAACTTTGACTTTGGAGTGAATAATAAGTTTTTGCTAGAAGCAAATGCATTCATCTCCCTGGTTATACTTTGTTTTGTCTTGTAATAGATTTTTGGACTGTTGCAGAGAGCAAGCTGGCATTTGGTTGATTTGGGGAAACAGATTGCATTTCTTAAATTTTCTTTCTTTCTTTTCTTCCATATTGAGACCTGGGAAAATTTCCCTTAACTTCATTCCAAGTTTGTGAAAATCATACAACCCAGGACATCTTGCTTGGGCTGAGCCACTTGTAATGATCTGGGATTGTTTGGATTTGTGTTCAGCTCCCCAAGGTGCTACTCTGAACATACAACTTAACAGCTTACATTTTCTGGGCACACAGCAACTTTCAGTAGATTTGGTAACCATGCAGATGAGTACCTATTCTTCATAGTTCAGTGGGGTACACTTTCACAGTTCCTCAAACTCTGGAAGCCTTATTCAAAAGAGTACAGCCATCTTTTTTTTACCCCAGCAAATCTTGCTGGGGATGAATACTTAGGAGATGAATACCAGAAATTAACACACAATCTTCCTCTTGTATCACAACTACCAAAGGTCAGGTTAGGGAGAAGTTTGGGAAGGAGTAATGACACCAGAGGAGGAAGGGAAAGAAAACCACACAGCCACTGTGGAAATGTCAAACAGTGGAGACAGTGTAGTCAGAAAATACTGCTTAGGGGCAGAGTGGTGGACATCTCTTTCTCTCTCCCTCAAAGCTCTGTAACATGAGATCCTTGTGGGAGTGGACAAATTATAACCAAAAGTTTGCTGAAAGAAGAGCCTTTTAAACTGGCCTCTTAGGAAACAGTCTATCTTTTTCCCTCTTCTTTTTCACTTTCTCTAAGCAAAGCTGTTCAGAATTTCTACAATTACTCGTAACACCTCTCTCATTTGGGTTCTCTTCTTCTCTGTAGGCAACATCCATTCTGGGGAGTGAGGAAAACTCAAAGTTGGATGTAGAATAGTGGAGGCAGAGGTCTGGACTCTAAGGATCCTAAAATTTTCTTTTTAAGTTGTCCTGGCCAGTTCCCCAGGGAATATGGAAAGAGGCATCCAGAATAAAAGCTCTTTCCATGCATTAAAAAAAAAATGCATATGATAGGCTTGACCATCCCTTGGTTAGTCATCTTGAAGGTGAAAGAATGATGTATAAAGTTTAGAATGGCTAGCAGTCAGAGCCAAATGGCTTGGTCAATTAAATTCTAACCCTAGTCTTTTCTCTTCCTCCATGAAAAGTATTAAGCTAATTAAGCTACTTATCTTTTCTAATTTACTGGCTTATACTTCCACATCCCTACTTCTTGTTCGCTGTATTGCAGTTCCACTAGACTGCTTTTCAGAATCTTGGTCATACCTTCTCACATTCACATAGATCCTCTCACTGAAATGTCTCCTCCTTTTTCTCCTCCTTAATCCTCACTCTTTCCTTGGAGCTTTTTAGACAAAGCCTTCAAAGAGCTCAGATTAAGTTAGTTTTGCCTGTCATACCTTCTTATATTAGGCTGTTCTCTCCATCTTAGCAACTGTCATGGCTGCTGACTTTATTCACCACTGGAAGATATTTGCCTTATTCACTTCTGCATGCCCAGGGCCTTTGACACATGGCCCCAGGTAACTTCTCAATTGTCTTCTCCCCCGTTTCTAAATAATGAGTAAATGTATGCCCAACTTCTGACCCAAGGACTGGGCACTTAGGAAACACAATTTTAGGAGCAGCCCTGCAAACTCTTTTCTGTCACCCCAATTTTTTCCTGCTATTCTCCCCAACCACAACAGCATTTCTACTTTTCCTTAGAGAGCACAGTCCTTGTATTTATTTGCTGGGGCTGCCATAACAAAGTACCATAGACAGAGTGGCTTAAACAACAGGAATCTATTTTCTCATAGTCCTCAAGGCTAGAAGTCCAAGGCAAAATGTTGGCAGGGTTGGTCTCCTCTGAGGCTGTTCTCCTTGGCTTGTAGATGGCTGTCTTCCCCTTATGTCTTCATATGATCTTCTTTCTGTGTGTCTCTGTGTCCTATTTCCTCTTCTTTTTTTTTTTTTTGGAGATGGAGTTTCACTCTCGTTGCCCAGGCTGGAGTGCAATGGCATGATCTCACCTTACTGCAACCTCCGCCTTCTAGGTTCAAATGATTCTCCTGCCTCAGCCTCCCGAGTAGCTGGGATTACAAGTGCCCGCCACCGTGCCTGGCTAATTTTTGTATTTTTAGTAGAGACAGGGTTTCACCACGCTGGCCAGGCTGGTCTCGAACTCCTGACCTCAGGTGATCCACCCGCCTTGGCCTCCCAAAGTGCTGGGATTACAGGTATGAGGCACTGCTTCTGGCCCTATTTTCTCTTTTTATAAGGACACTAGTCATATTATATTAGGGTCCACCCTAATGACCTCATTTTAACTTGATTTTCTTGAAACAGACCGTCTCTAAATATAGTAACATTCTGAGGTACTGCCAGTTAGGAACTTTGGGGAGACAATTCAACCACGACAGTTGGGGGTCCTGCTTGGATGACTATGTCTAGGTAGTTGACTGTCATTGTGAATCCTGGGTAGGGCATACCCTTTACAATGACATACTAAACAAGTTCTGCTTTTCTCACTCACCAAATGGGTGCTCCCAACCTGATATGTCTTATCAAGGCATATTGATAAAAATTTGAGGAACCTTTATAGACCATTTAGTTCAATACCCTTGTTTTGCAGATGGAGAAACAGAGGCCCAGGGAAAGAGAATAATTTAGCCGAGCACTCTCAACCTGTGAATGGAGAAGCTGAAACTAGAACTAAAGCCTTTCCTATTTAGAAATAGGAAAACTTAAGCTTTTCCCCCCAATTTTCTCACCTTGCATTATGAGGAAAATTGCCTGAGGCTAATTTCATTAAGGCTGTTGAGGAGGAATAATCTACGGTCATATATATTTCTGGCTATATATATATTGCACCTTCCAGCAGTCACCAGTGAGTGACAGTCTTGCTATTATTTCTTATAACGTGTAGAAGTTCTATTCTGTTTTTACCCCAACACCCTGCCTAGATCAACTGTGCTGAGCAAAACCACAGGCAGCAACCCTCAAGCCCATTTCTATTCTTCTGGATAAAAAATACATTTTTTTTTCAAAATATAGGGATGTCATCTTTTTCCCTGCCATCTTGTAAGGGAAGAAGATAGCAAGACAGAAATAACTCCTGCTAATCTTTTCAAATACCAAAGCATTCCACTTCCCATGCAATCATTTTGAAGCTCTAACATGAGCAAAAATGATAGCTGTCATGGAGAAAAGAACTCTTAGTTTGAAAAGATCGAGTTCTAGTATATAGAATCCCCCAAACCAGTTTAAATTCATGAGTCATACAATATATCTGACATGTCACCAAATCCTCCCCACACCCAAGGCTCAACAGTTTTTAAAATCTCAACACACGCTTTCTGAGGAGTTTCAGTTTGGGATGAAACTAGGGATTCTGGTGGAGTGATCTGTACAGTAGTCACGGGAAGGTCCTTTCACTGAATAAATACTTTTTGAGCAACTATTATGTGTTGGGCATAATTATGGGTGGTCCTCTTTACTGGTTAGAGTCAGCATGGTAGAGAGGACTGACATTACCTCATCACAGAAGACACATCCCTCAGACCTCACCTAAGTGGAAGTCCAGAGAGCCTCCTTGATTTAAGTGGCTGTGGCTTTCAAAAAGTGTTAAGAGAATTCAGGGAAAGGAGAGATCTCTTAGAACTGTAGAGGGAAAAACAGGGGCAAGTATTTTTTTGTGGAAGGATTTAGAGATGAGGTAACACTGTGGCAGGGCCTCAGAGAATGGGGAGCATTTGAACTTGGGAAAGTCTGGAAAGGAGTAAAGAAAAGCATGAACCAAAGGAAGTCTGAAGGAAAATGTAAATTATGGGGTACTTGCAACAATAATTAGTTCAGTTGCTGGACTGGTTCAAGAGGGAGAGGTGGTAAAAATAACAAACTTTTTTGAGCCTTTACAATGTTCCAGGGACAATGGTGAGCACTTTATATGAATGATTGCATTAATCTTCAAA